AATGATATATATGATATTCAAATTAGGTTTCCTGCATAGCACTGTAAACATAATCCTGTATAAACAAATAGAATGATAATAAGTGCTCCAATAGGAACTACAGAGACTTACACAGCAGATTTAACTCCCAGACACTCTCTCTCTTTAACACACTCTTATGCGTAGTCTAGCAGATAGTTCTTGATGCATTGCAAATAACAGTTTTAAGCGACAAGACAGGATCTCCAAAAGCAGGGTTTTATTGGGTGGGTGCGACTTTATATGGTAAGTGGACCAAAATGGCTCCGGGGGCCGCCGTCATATATGGAGCATATACTAGGCCTACCTCAACCTCATGGTTGGGGCTGAAGAAAGAAAATTTACGATTATGGCACACTATATGGCCGTAAATTACACCCGTACAAATTCTCATCATTTCCTTTCTTCCCCATTAAAAACAAATTGTGACAAATTCAGTGAGGACGAGATGGCTGGGCCTCCTTGAATCCGCCACTGTCTGTGGCGGATATAGGAATTCAAAGACGGGGTGCAAGGGAAGGATACAGACTTTGCTTTAAACGGGAAAAGGGGATTTGCGTCAACGGTGGGGGTACCAAGGGTTCTCCCTCCCATGTCTGGGAGCACAATTTGTCTGGGGAGAAAAACCTCTATTGATTATTAAGCCTTTCAAATCCCTAATCGTTGGAGTTTCCAGGTGATTCGCTCTTTAGATCCCCCCTGAGTTGTGCTTGGCCGGATCCTGTCCCGCCCACTTTGTCGTCAGGAAAATTGGCCTTTCCATCGGGGACATCGCTCCTTGGTCGGGGACATCGGATCCACAGTCGTGGTGCTCAGGTATTTGCTCGACGGGGATTTGATGTTCCAAAATAGAGTTGGAAGGGGGTAAGTGCGATGCCACCGACGATTGGCCGATGTCCCCGACAGGTGTCGATGTCCCAGACGGGAGAAGGGGCGATGTCCCCGGTGGAAAGGCCGATTTTCGCGTCAATGATGGTGGAGAGGGGGATGTCAAGAGTTCCCTTTCTCATGTCTGAAAGCAAAATTTGTCGGGGAGAAAAAATATCTCTAAAATTGATTAAATAATTCCTTTGAAATCCCTAATTGTGGGAGTTTCCAGGTGTTCCGCTCTTTAGACCCAACCTTTGAGTGATGTTGGCCGTTTCTCCTGTTCCCGCCTAATTTGCCGTCAGGAAAATTGGCCTTTCCATCAGGGACATCACCTATTTCCCCGTCAGGGACATCGGCACTTGTCGGGGACATCGGCCATACGTTGATGACATCGCACCCACCCCCTTCCCTCTCTAGTTTGGAACATCAACCCCCGTCGAGCAATACCAGCACCACGACTGTGGATTCGGCTGTAACATAAATCCGCTTTATTTATCCCAGGTAAAGCTCGGTTTCCATTGAATCGCTCACCCTATCGGCGACAGGCGCCGACAGTTGTCGGGAAGGTTGAACCTGGTTTAACTTTGCCGATTGCGTTTCAGACGAATCGGGGTGCCTTCATAATTACGTCAGGGCAGCTAGTCGATGCACCCTGATTCGTCTGAAACGCAATCGGCAGGGGTGGCGCCAGAGGGGGGATCGGGGGCAGGACACGGCTCCCCCGTCGTTGGGGAGAGCTGCTCCCCGTCGGGGAGAAAAAGCAGAATTCGTCGGGAAGAAAAAAAAATTATATGTATTTTCCACATTTCTATTAGTAGACTCTAAAATCGATTAGATAAGCCTTTGAAACCCCTAAATTGTCAGATTTTTCGGGGGCTTCGCACACTGGACCATCCCTGAATGATCGGCAAAGTTGAACCAGGTTTAACCTTTCCGACAACAGCTGCCGGCCACCGTCGCCGATAGGGTGAGCGATTGTATGGAAACCGAGCAAGCATCATGGTTAATCCAGCTTAGTAAGCGGTTTTGTACCAGGTAGTCTGGCCAAGACAAAATTTTATATAGCATTCATATTTTTTTTTTGTCGTGGTAGCGCAAGCAATTTGGCGAGTCGAGTGGACAGGGGCGCCGCTAGCTGCGCTGGTTCCAGCCGCTCCTCGCCCATGCCATGGTTCGGTTGGTAGAACCAAGTCTTCTCGGATAAGGACTTAAAATGGAGGTCAAGTGTATACATATGGCTCGTGTGCACTTTTTTAAAGAACCCATTGCATCTTTCGGAAGGGTAGGGGGTTACCCCGATGTTATGGTTCATTTCAACCCCTATCGTTTTGGAATGATGTGAACATCATCAGCCGAATGTAGTAAAAATGTTTATCAGTGTGATTAATCTGCTCAATAAAAATGTTTAATTACTTGCGCAAATATAAAGATGTGGGTAACGACCTGCTATGTAGGCCCTCTTTAGGCTAGACGCGCCTAGATGGTTGGAAGCGACGATCGAAGAAAAATGGTTAAGCAAGCCAAGGACTTCGCTAACTTCCATTCCTCAGTATTAAAATCCTTCCATTGATGGGCACTGTCTAAAACTTTCTTCCAGCTTATCTCTGAAAGGATTGTAACCTTTTCGTCTGCAGTTAGCCTAACATGAATTACACAGGAGCCAGTGAGCTTCCATGACGGCCTAGGCTCGGACATGACACGTTGTTGTTTGTTGTTATTTCACGACGTCATCATCGAGTACAATACATTCATTATCCACCATCAACTAAACTGCCTTAAAGAAACAAAAAATGGTTCGTGTGGGAATCGAACACACAACCTCCATGATTGCTATTCATTATCCACCATCAACTAAACTGCCTTAAATAAAAAAAATAAAAAAATTACTGGCTCGTGTGGGAATCGAACCTACGACCTTCAAAAAAATAAATAAAAAAATTTAAAAAAAAACTTGCCCCGTGTGGGAATCGAACCCACGATCGCTGAGTTTACTACCCCTGATCCAGCATGACTAAACGGAGGGAGGTAAACCGCGGCCCCTAAGCCATAAATTCGATAAACCTAGTACCACACCAAGTACCAGTTAGTCAACTCTGACCCTGCTAAAAAAAATCTTTGTATATATACACTGCAGGTTAATATTACACATGGTCATGGTGTCAAAAATGGGCCGTGGGGCAAGGGGGTTTATTTTTTGTCTAAAAATGTTGAGTTAAATTTATAATCGATTTTTGATTGTTACCATCTCCATACCTTACGCACTTTTAAAAAAAATAGACAAACATTTTTGAAAAATTCATTATGCAAATTAGAAAAAAAATAGACTAGTCATGTTACGGGAAACCTGGTGGTTGTGTGTTCAATTCCCACACGAACCAATTTTTTTTTTTTTCGCAACATCACAATACTCTGTTGGCCCGACGTCGGTAAACGTTTGAAATTTACAACTTATAACCGACGTCGGCCCAACTGTTGTCACCAACCTCCACTAACGTTTACCGACGTCGGGCCAACAAAGTACTTGTGACGTTGGGACAACGTCTATAAACACATCCTAATATTTACAACATCTAACCAACATCGGGCCAATGGTTGTAACCAACCTCCATTCCAAACGTTTACCGACGTCGGGCCAACAGCGTTCTGTGACGTTGAGACAATGTCTGTAATCACATTTAATATTTACAACCTCTGGCCAACGTCGGTCCAACGGTGGTAACCAACGTCTATTTCAAACGTTCACCGACGTCGGGCAAACAAAGTACTATGACGTTGCGACAACGTCTTTAATTACATCTAATATTTACAACCTCTAACCAACGTCGGCTCAACGGTTGTAACCAACCTTCACTAACGTTTACCGACGTCGGGCCAACAAAGTACTCTAACGTTGCGACAACGTCTGTTATCACATCCTACTATTTACAACCTCTAACCAACGTCGGGCCAACGCATTTAACCAACCACCATTTCAAACGTTTACCGACGTCGGGCCAACAACGTACTGTGACGTTGAGACAACGTCTATCACATCTAATATTTACAACCGGTAGCCAACGTTGGGCCAACAACGGTAGTACCCAACCATTTTTTAGTAGTTTGCCGACGTCGGGCCAGTAACAAATCGTGACGTTGTACCAACGTCGGTAGTCAGACTGAATATTTACGATGGCTTACTAAAGTTGGGACGACATCGGAAAATCGACAAATATATTCATACGTTGGGCCAACGTGAAATTCCAATGTTGGTTTGACGTTACCTCTCCGACCAAATTTTGCAACCAAACACCAACGTCGTACCAACGTCAGATATCCGACCCCGCGCTTACCGACGCTTGCCAACGTTTACCAACGTTGGGCCAACGTCGCTTTGCTAGCTGGGATCGACTTTCACAGATTGAGGGTCTATAACACCTCAGCCCCACCATGGTTGGGATGGGGCTGAGGTAAGAACATAAAATGTTATAATTATGGTACCAAATGGCCGGAGATGCCACTCTCAGACTTAATGTTATCGTCACTTGTTCATCGCTGCTGCTGTGGATGGACGTTGGTTAGAGGATCAAGAGCTCATTGACAATCCCACAATAATCTCTGAGAGAGAACTCATAGTGACTCGTGCAGTTGTTACATTTATGACGATCGGTAATGTTATTGATACGATTTATTACATACATTACCGTATAGTAAAACATGTGAATTTATTTTTTCTTTTTTAGTTTATGGGTGTCTTGATCATTTTAAAATTCAGATAATACCCGATAGGCCTATCAAATTTGGCGGATTTTGTCTCAGCAAGCAAATTTTAAAGTAAGTAAAAACTATAGGAGCCATTTTTTATCTATAATATAAATGTATAACAACGTTTAGCACCTTTTGTGAAAATTTATACCTATTGGCATTGAAATATCAGGATTGATTCGTCAGAGGATTTTTTATTTTTTTTATTTTATTCCTTTCAGCCAGAACCACAAAAAACAATCAAAAAAGAAAGAGGAGGTCAGAGGAGGGCTGAGGAGAGTCAAAAGCGGTACAAAAACTACTATCACCGGATATGGTGTGCCCCTCCAGGATAGCGAGTATACCCCTCGGGCTCCATGGGTGATAAGACTACTGTAATAGAAATTTTAACGGGTAAACTAGTAAGATCGATATGCTGTCCTCTAGAGTTCCGAAAGTGACATGTGTGTGGCCTGCTCTCGGAGGAGATATACCATGTTTGCAGTCGCGTGCTTATTGACATACATTGGGTCTTGTTTGATGTTGTATGTAATTCTTTACGCATATTATACATGTTTTCGTGTTTACAGATGTAATTTCTCACGAGTCCTTATTGTTACTGCTCATCCAGACGATGAGTGTATGTTTTTTGGACCAACGATTAACCACTTTCTTGGACAGCAAGCAAAATGCCGGTTATTGTGTTTATCGTCAGGTGACTGCGGCCGAGAATCGCTTTCGACTGGCTTAGACCAGACTCAAATTAGAGGCCGAGGGCCTAGCTACTTACTTAGTGCTTAGTTTATGCAATAAACTAGAACAAGTAATCTTAGTTATGTAGATCATGTTATTGTATGTATAATTACCTGCATAGGTGCAGGTTATGTAGTAACTGGTTTAATTAAGTCTGACCGCCAAAACGTTCCTAGTAGTCTTGTAGTAGCACTAGGCCTAGGCCTAGTTTTATGTAGGCGCTAGCCTAGCGCGGCCCCAATGAAGGAAAGGTTTCCGTAATGATTGGTGAGGGCGCACTCTAATCCTCAAAAGTGAATAATTTTATTAATATCTTTATACTTTTAAACTACTTTATAGGCAATTTCTATAGCATGGGAGAAGTCAGGAAAAAAGAATTGATAAACAGCTGCAACATACTTGGCTTAGAGAAATCAGCAATAACCATCATTGAAGATAAGTGAGTATGTCATTTTTATATTCATCACAAAAGTGTTCAAGTTATTAAATATGTTTTTTTTTTAATTCAGCAAACAACCAACAGTGATGAAAACTGCCACTCTATACTGTAAAATAAGGCCTGCATGGATATGTTTTGTGGAGTTTTTCTTTGCTTCGTTTCATATGTTACAAAACAAAGTAATTGCAAAGCAATCAATAAGCATATGTTTTGGTTGTCACAATTTCATTAATAATTAACAATTATTAAATGTTATTTAGCAATCTAGATGATGATCCAAATATAGAGTGGCATACCAATCTGATTAAAGAGTATGTTAAGAAGCAAGTGCACAATTACTCTATTGACAAAGTAAGTAATTTTCTGTATGCTATGTATAATAATGATGATGATGATAATAAAAGTGATGATGATAATTATTATTATGAAAATAATGATTATTTGCTGTGCATCTGGTATCCATCCGTAAACATGCTCATGGCGCATCAACAACAGTTTTATTAAATTAATAATTTAAAAAAACTTTCACGACGCGAGATTCATTTAATTCAAAAGGAGCAGAAAGAAAGAAGAGACTGGCCTCCGATAACAAAAACAGTGTGATCGTCACCCCGGTCTGCTTGACAACATGCTGGGCTTCAGTAGTTTCCACCATGGGCTAATTCCACGACTCCGCTGCTGTGTACTGCAAAGACAGTGACGCTGTCTTGAAATAGGCTAATGTCAACCAATTGGCCAACTTAAATAAAAATAATCCTAACAATGGGGGTGATGATAATTTATGGTTGTAATGATGACAAGTATTACAATTATGATTAATATTAAGATTGAGTTGATGATTGTGATTATGAGGATCTTGTTGATGATTACGGTGATTATGAGTAACGTGATAATAATGATGATCACTAAGATACTTCACTATCAATTTATTGCTAATTTTAACATTTAAAAATAATACTTGTTAACCCTTTGAGGTCGTGGTCCGTATCCCATACGGAGTAATTTACTGTCCCTGGTTGTGCGGCCCGTATACGGTACGGACCTATTTCTCCTATTGTTTTAATAATGCTGCCCTCTGTTGCTGACCCTTTTAGGGGATTTCCCTAATGTCATAGTAACTAGACAAGGCTTAGCGATTGTATAGAGCAAAAATCGGCAATTTTTTCTGTCAGTGATTGATGTACTTGGATAGACGAGGATAGTGGGATTGCTTATATAATAATTATTTAATTAATTAATTAATAATATAAATAATATGAATCTGAGAAAAGATTTTAACTTGAAACGCAACCAGTAATGCTAGGCCTAGGTCTGCAAATGTTCATTTCGGGTTTGGTCATGTACATGGAACCCTCTCTCAAATTTCAATACCCCTACCCCCATCTTCTCTATTATTATTATATTATATTATTATTTCATCAAGTGTACTAGTTTTAGTAAAATATATCCTAGGTCCAGTATTCCACCCCAGTTAGAAATAAGCATATGTAGGCCTAGCTAGGCTTACTTGCCCTCTATCGAGGGAGGGGGCGTGTGATAGAGGCCGTTCCCCAAATTATGACCTCAATGACTTTTCTGACCTTGGGCATAAAGAAATCTTCATAAATATGAAAGCATTTTATATTTTTTTTTTAACCAAACACATTTTATTTCTGTAGAAAACAACATATTCCACATAATGTGTAACATCTAAGAGCATAGGAATTTTTTAGTGTCGTTTACATGGGGTTTATGGGAAAAAAAGTCCCCTTTTTGGGCCCCCAGATTGCAATTTTGGGGCACATGACCTTTGACCTAGGTTAAAAAGTCAAATAATTTTGCTATTTTTCGGAAGCCCAGAACATTTTACCCAACAATCAAACCCAACATTTGCAGAAAGTTACAGTCATAAAAATTTATTATGCGTTTTTCAGAAACCTATTAAAACCCCTTAAGGGGCCCCAGCGACCTAGAATAGATCGCTGGGGAAAAGGGTTAAATAATGATATTAATAAGCAATTGTTACTATAAAAAAACATTATTTTCAGGTATTTTAATTTATTGTTATAAGTTGATATTTTGTGTATTGTATGTGTATTATTCAATGATCGTTCTTTTAATATTAATTGATTTATTATTACTTGAATGTTATTATTTGATTATTAATGGTCATGATGCTATTGACTATTTCTTGTAATATTATTATTAATTGATTGTGAATTTAATATTGATTTTTTTTCTTTATATTTAGATTGTTACTTTTGATGCTTATGGTGTGAGTGGCCATAGGAATCATGCATCAGTTTTCCAGGCCATAAGGTACAGTATATTTTCTAGTAGAGGACGTTTAACTGCCATTCTCATACACAATTCCATGGTTTACTCTTTCAAGAAATTTGTTAACAACATTGTCATCTTCATAACAAAGTAAACATCTATTGACAACTAGGGAACTAGGGCACTTTAGGGCAGTTCGCAGTGTTGAACAGTACTTTGAACTCACCATTTGAATTCTACAATCAAAGCTATACTCATTCTCAATTCAAAACAAAATGAACACAAGATTCCAAGTTTTTTTTATTCATCTGTCTTCCTTATTTACTTGCTCTATATTGTTTATTATAACATGGTGTGAATGACAATGATAGCGAAGCAATAGATTTCTCTAATCATACTTGGCCCCCCCCCCCCTCTCTCAACTACATAGATGCATCCCCACCCCTAAATCAAAACAATACAATTCAATATTTTCCAATGTTTTATTTTGCCTTTGATGATCCACACCAGCAGAATCTGGCAGATTTAGGTTGGAAATACCTTTTGGAATATTGCATTGTAAAGATGAAGGTTTCAAATTTTTCACTCAGATGTTACTTAGTGTTTGTTTCAGGTATTAAAATTTTCTGATTTGAAATCATTCTTACCATTAAATTCATGTGTCCACAATTTTTTGTCAGTAACAGATTTTTTTTTTTTTTTTTTAAAGATTACTAAAGAATTCTGATGAGATAAGTAAAGGTAAGTTCTTCATCACTATTTTTAAAGAAGTGGCATAATTACATGCTAAGTGAGTCTTCAATGTGAGTTTTATTCATTTTTATTCATATTATTATTTTTATTTCTACCATTACATTATTACAGATATAGAAATTCTAGTGCTTGAAAGTAAAAGCTGTTTAACAAAATACCTGTCCATCTTCAGCTTACCTTTTGTATTACTAAACCACCTGGTTACCAACAGTCAACTGTATATATCAAGTCCGTTTGAAGTATTACGTACACAGGTAAAACATTGGATGCTGGCAAATGTCAGTGTAGCATTGAAATTTATTTTTTTTGTGTATTGTTATTGGAAATGTATTGTTTATCCCTTGTGGCTTGTTTTTTTTTTATAGTCTGTGCAAAAGCAGAAAGGTATTATTGTGTCTGTTCCATAGAGAAAATTTCTTTAAGTAAACTAATACTCACTGTTATTTGTGGATGACAGTTTTGCCAAACCAATGTAAACGTTTTTTGCCGCATCACATCCAGTATTGATGTTATACCACTAATTCTTCTTAGCTCCTCACTAGACCTTCTTTCCTTTAAGGACATACCACAGATCCAACAGATCATTGACAATTCATTTCGTTGGGCATCCTGAAATTTGATAGGCCAGGTTTCACTGCCATATAGCACTGCGAATGCACGATATATGGTAGGGAAACCTGGCCTATCAAATCATAGATGTGACATATATCAGATAGATCCCCCCTCCCCAAAAAAAGAAATATATATATATATATATATATATAAAATACAGTGCAACCTACGTAGCATTCTCCTTCGTCAAATTTCACAAGATACTGTACATGGCAAGTTTACCCGAGTGAACTTTGCTCGAAAAAGAATAACCAGCTAGTTTTCCGGGAGCAACAATATCAAGTGCAAACAGTAGCGACTTGGTTAAGTCTACAAGTTCATGATACTTCCGTGTGCATCACTGTATTTTACACAGATTCTATCAACGATTAGACTGACAATGCATTCGCAAATTTTTGCTTTTTTAACATGTTGACTGCCAAGGCTGTTTTTCTAGTTCTATCCATTCCCATTAGCTGTAATGAAACTCAAACTAACATGCAGTATTTATCTTTAGATCATTACTTTCAGTTCTTCCCTGAACCTCCAAGGACAGAGTGTTAAGTGAACCTGTTAAAACCTTACTGCGTATTTCAACCCAAGAACGAATAAGGGGTGCCAGTTGACCAAAAGTATAGTCAGCCTACCGTACTCGTGCGAATAAGCACCTGGGCACTTAAAATATTTTTTTGCACTTTTTGAGGGGCGCTTATTCAAAGGGGAGGGGAGTTACTTAAACGGGGCCCTTATGAAAACAGAGTGGGAATTGGGGGGTGGGGCGCTTATGAATATAGATGAAAATTGAGGGATTCTTATAGGAACTTATCAAATTCAAGAGGCACTTTTTGAATGAAAAAAGATAATATAAGGACATTGGGAAACCGAAAATTACGAATGGTGGTGCGGCGGAAAAGATAATCATCCAGAGAGCATTTCTCATGACAAGAATGCTGTGAATATTTACATAACAGCAGAAGAACAGATGCAATTAGTGGTGGTAGGTAGTCGTTTTGACATTAGCAGGATGGCAGGATCATTGCAGGTTTCTTTGAAAACTCAGATTAGAATGTGCTAAAGGTGTAAATTGTTGGAAAAAGAAAAAGGAGGAGTAGGACTAGGCCTGGACAAATATGTATGAAGAGAAATCAATCACTAAATCTAACTGAAAAGTGTATTAGTATTAGAGCCGACATGGTCAATGTACTTCGCTAGTGCTCAACCAATTTCCATTAAATATTAAACACTGTTAAATAGATGCAGAATTTCCAGTCCACATAATATACTAACCAATAATCCGCATTGAATAATGAGCAGGGGCGGTAGCAAGGAATTCCCTGACAAGGGGTCCAAGCTCCCCGACAAAGTGTCCACCTGCTGTCAGGGAAGACTAGCACGCTCCCCCTCCCCCCATAGGAGAAAAATTGTGTTGATTATGGTATACTTTATTTAAGAAGTATAATTTGATAGAAAATCATGCAAGTTAAAAGGCCCCCTGTCGGGGGTACAAACCACCTGCCGGAGGTACTGTACCATCCCCCTGTCGGGGAAGATCCGGCCTACCACCGCAACCGATACGATCACAATAGTATGCACAGATACATACTGCAAATACTGTAGCACTGCTCGCATTAAACTGTTTTTAATCCCTAAAATTAAACTGTTTTTAATCACTAAAATTTGACAGGCAAGTAAGACATACCTAAATACTTTTCGGCAGTCAAGATTTCTTTTTTCGTCGACAACCTTGCTGGAAATTCCCCAAAGGGGGGGGGGTACCCCACTAGCGCCGCTTCTTATAATGAGTCGAAATTTTACAAACGATAACGAAATGAAGCACATAAGATCAGAACATTTTATTATTCAGTCATGTAATAACTAAAACTGAAGCATGTTTCTTTGTTCTGAAGCGCCCTTAACGTTATGTAAATAAACGGCCTCTATTATCAAAAAATCTAAAAATAATATTCAATTACAGCCAGTTAACATGTTTTAGATGTACAGATCTTAAAGTATGTCTTCCTCCAGTCCATGCACGACTCGCCATTCTTCTTGTGGAGACGCCAGTTGTTTTGCTTGGCCTGACGTTATTCCCTAACATTCACTTAAGCCTTCCGAATTGTCTACTGTATTCTTTAAAACCAAAAAATTGATACAAAGAATTAATAAGAGAAACCAGACACAGTTCTTATTTAACTTCCATTCTCTTGCACTTAGTTTTTCATTATCTGTGTATAGGTTTTTGTCTATATGTGCATTATATGGTTACTGTATTGTGATTTTCCTTCGGATGCCTGTGGTAGCTCAAATATAATCACCATTCCTTTCACACAACTGTTCAATGGCTTACATTTGTTTTTTTCTTTCAGAGAGCAATGTTGAAGCACTGGAGCCAGTTGATGTGGTTTAGAGTTTTGTATATATGTCTATCGCAATATATGATTATGAATAGTGTTCATGTTTTTGAACAATGACTTGTGAAGTGGTTTGAATCTGCATATGACCCATTCAAATAATGTTAATGTAAGTCTTACGTAGTACATGATACAAAAGACTTGGCACAAGTCTCTAATTTATTGATTTTTCGTAGTATTAGCACATTTTGGAAAGCGCCACCAGCATCAGTTTATGTCGAGAAATTTTTTTGATGCGAATTAGAAAATCCAAGAAAAAGTTATATATAGTTTTATATTCTACACTAGATTAATATATACATGGTATTAATAAGCAGGAGAGAATTTCTTTCTTATAATAGTTGGTGCTATATTTTTTATTGTATACGCATATATGTAGTTGCAAAATACTAATATTTTTGGTTAAAATTTAGCCTTCAGCAAATAATCTATATGGTTTATAGTGGAACTAACTCATCTATTACCGAACACGCCTTCAACTGGGATGAACTCCACTTTCCGTACCAACTTGTCGCCACTTCCAATAGTCGCTTTTAAAATGGGAAGGCTCGGCTATGGGAACATCAGCTTAAGAGTCTTCACGGAACACTCAAAGTTCTTCAGATGTGGATTCTGCAGCCTCTGCAGCCTCTTCCTGTAACAGGGATTGTATGCAACCTTATCCTTGGTGGTTGTTATCTGCACTGCACGAGCCAATTGAATGCAGCATCTCTGGTGCCTCTGCAGCCATCATGGCAAGTTGAGAAATTGTGGACTTGAGCATCTTGGACCTGATTCACTGCTTCTTCTCGTTGACACTTTTTATCAACAGTAGTCTTGTCGATACGCCACAAGTCTTTATACTGTGCTTGTGGCAGGCTACATTATAGAAGTAGTAGTACTGTAGTGTCTGTCTACCTGGTAGCTCTATCTACAAGAAGATTACACGCCAGCCTAATCTGCATACCACATACCCGCGTAGACATTCACATGCTTCTCTTCCATAGACTGCTTGATGTCGTGTTGGCTCTCCATTTCCATATCCAATACCTAATCTCTGACCAAGGTTCTACTTCCGGATGTTCCTCAATTCTATTCAAAATATTGATCTCTGATCGTCCTTGAATTTCTTTCCATCTTCTATGGTGACTTTACCAGATTTAGGCAAAATGCCAGTGTTTATTGCATGCTATTTAATCTCGACATCTTCCAGTGTAAGCTGATAACACCAAGAAGAAGTCTATGTTGCCAATTTTACTGCCATAGAAAGATACTTTTTTTTCCTACATGAACAAACTATATATCGTCAGTAGGTCTATAAAGATATTGAACTTAATTTTTTTCTCCAGTGACTCATCACTAATGATAAATTCTGATTCACCATTTGATTCCATATTAAAATATATAAATAAATGGCAGGCTTACTCGCTAGTGTATTTTTAGTAGTTCAGTATTAAATTTGCCTAACCAACAAATGGTCATTAGCATCATTCCTTGACCATTTTCATTTTGAGCATGGAGGTACATCCATATTTAAATGTGAATGCGTATCTCAAGAACAGTAATCAATGAATTGTTCTGTGTTTAACAATGCAGGTATTATAGCAGGGCCGTTGGAACGGCACTGGCCGCACCGACTATGGCCGTACCACTACTTCTCAATTACATTACTTTTTGAAATAAATATATAATGATAATTATGAATTATATGAATGTACACATCGCATTGACTTTTTAATGTTATATAGTTAAATAAAAATCCACCATGCGCTTGTGTTTTTGTATTGCCAATGTACATTACAACTTGTTTTAACATTCCTTAACTTTTAGTAATAAAGATAAAGATTGATGTTGAAAATGTTTAGAGGTTAGAGTTGGCCAAATTGATTACTTGCAATAAAAATTTAAACCCCTAGAGTGAAGGAAGTTCATGTACTGTTTGCAGAGGAGCCATTTTTAATCATGGTATGATGGACCTGAGGTGGAGGGTACAGTATCTAGACCACTAACTTTCAATCTTGTGTCTGTCCCTGCATGGAGTTGGAATAGGGGTAGTTGCTTTGCAGCACATTTAAAAAATTTACATGTATGAATTTATACACCAACTTCACCCCTTGAGGGGCGGGGGTTTGCTAGATGAGATTTGTGGGCATCCACAATGTATACATTTAGACCGCAATATTAGGGAATGGCAATCGCAAGTTGATTGGATTTTAAGATTAGTTTAATCTCATGACCTCGTCGTGGCGTCGGACGAAAGATGGTGGGGGATGTCCAGGTTTATAAAGGGGTGTGGTGCTCAACAAAATTAACCATTACAGTGCGATGAAAAGCAACGATAAATAGATTAAATCCAAACATTTTTATTGATATATACATTACTACGAGAACCACCAACTTTTTTCTAGTCCCTGGATGTCAATCAGAGGATCGCTTGCTCTCTGAAAGTATTAGGCCTATTATGAGACTAAAATAGCATAGCAACCTAACTTAGACTCTACCAAATAATCAAAACTGCAGTTTTTTCGAGGGGCTTTTATCCCTGCACCCTGACCAGGGGCCTTTTTTCCGTTTGATTCCAGATTGAACTCACTTTACTTTAGTCTGCATTAGTTTCTCCATCACTCTCAAACATGTCGCTACCTACATCAACATCATCACCGTTCATCATCATCGTCGACGTCATCGCCATCGATATCATCATCGTCATTATTATTATTACCATTGTTGTCATCACTGCCATCGTTATCATTGTCCCCTCATAATTATGATCATCATAACTAAATCATAAAAAAATAATTTTGAAATTAACTTGTTCATTTTTGCAGTAGCATACCAGTTTTTAACTTGAGCAAAGAAATTATTGAATTTTAAAAATTCAATAGGAAAATTATAATAAAAATATAAAACACTTCAGTGACTGGAAGTGTTTATCATTTTTTGTTGTAAAATGTTTTAAATCATCGTAATGTATAATTTTACGTTGTAAAATGAACATTTTTATGTTCAAGTTGATCATTTTTATGTTACCTCAAAATGGGAAGGTTAATTTCAAAAATGATTTTGATGATATTTTGCATGGGACAATACATCTTTAAGTGGTAGGACTTCTGGACCCCTGTAATACCAACCACATTCAGCAACATTGTGCCCCTCTCCACTCAATAACTGGATCACCCTAATGTTAGTACTCTATTTATTACCAGGGGAGATCTCTGTATGGAAGTATACCTGCATGGTCTGTCTGCCATGAATATACCAAGGATTGACTAGAATTAATGTGTAATCGGTATCAGGCCTACCAGAAGCAAACACAGCACTTATTTTTTATTTTTAAACAATTTTTTTACAATTCTAGTGTAATAGTATAACTCATCGACATCGTGATAAATAAACTTATTAATGTTACAAGCTGAACTTCGCAAGAAAATTTAATTAAAATTGTATGAGCAGTATGTTCATAACGTGTAGGCACAGGAGGCCCATTTGCGTGGCATATTGTATCTTATTGTATTTTATTTATTGCATATTGTTAATATTTCATAGCTGAGTACCATCCACGCCGTGTAAATACAATTACAAATATGTTATAGCCATTTTGTTTTATCATTGTATATGTATTGTGTTTCTTGCTTTCTCGGAGGAATAAGCAACTCAATTCATCTAGTTATGGCAACGATAAGAAATTAAATTTTGAACAATATTATTTTCTACAGCTTTACCAGCTGCTATTTCCTGGCATCCATGCTAACTTTACATATTGTGGCTTCACCTTAAGGGGAAGGGATAGCGGCTCTAGGTTGCCAGAATCTATTTCCAGACATTCATAGGTGCCAAACAAGTTGTTTACCAACCATGGTGGGGTTGAGTGGATGCTCTCAGACCTCAACTAACTTCAAAATCATGTAGCCGTGGATAAAGATAGCAGGTCTCCACTCTTCATTTACTACCAAAGTTGTCAAGTGCCCCCCCCCCCAATACCCGCTCTCACTATAATGGAGGGACCACTTGCAAAATGCTTCTGACGGCTATGTATATTATTACCTACATGGTTTAAATAGACCCCTTTTCGGTGTTTAGATTGGCCTGGTGGAAACGCTGGCGGCACACTCTAATGGAAGGCAAAATATTTGGCGAGTATTATGACAAATCCATAGGAAATCAGGAATTTCGTCCATGTAGCTTTCATATTTTTGGCAAAAAAAAAAGATTACCAGTTTCCTGATTTCCTGTGCATTTGTCATATACTCATCGAATCTGTTGCCTACCAGTGGAGTGCACCGACATCGTCTCTGCCAGGCCAATGTAAATACCGAAAGGGGTCTATAGTCAACAATTCATTTACATTCGTCTTTTAGATATTCCTAAAGTTGATCTTTTAACACATTTTTATGATGTCAGAATCATGGACTTGTAGTTGTTTTGGCACTTTGTCTGTGAACATTGGAGCAACATTTTACATGATTTTAATTGAAAAAAAAAATAAAAAATTGGGAGGTTTCAAGGGAAGAGGTGAATAACCAACCGGCCCTGTTCCAAGAATATTGTGATACTGTACTGTATTATTATGAAAAAAAATAAAACCTATTGAGAATGGCATTTCCATCCATCTACAGTTTCCATGGACATAAAATATCGCACATCAACCCCGATCACCCCGACCATGGTGGCGCTGTGGTGGTCTGGACCTTCCATTTGTAAAAGTATTCTTCCTTCCCCTCCACCCCTTCTCCCCGTACTGAATCAGACACTCTTAACTTTTCTATAATAATTACAAACTGCTAAAGAAACAAAAAAAAAAAAAAAAAAAAAATGGCGAAAGGCAATCTTCTTGGGCTAGATGAAAAGGAACAGAATGTAAGTGATACATGAATGTAAACGATGTATGCATATGCTGTGAATATGATAGCCTTATTTATGTTTTAGCAACATTGTTAATCACAATAACACATTCATATAAACATGGTACCTGTGTTCCTGGGATGTTGTTTAAATATTTATTTATTTATTTATTTATTTATATTTATTTATTTATGTTTATTTATTTATTTATTTTTGAGTACAATAAAATATATATATAAATTATGAATTTATGATTTTTTTTTAAAAAGTTAATATTATTTCCTCAACTAAAATCCACATTTAATAATGTACTATCAGTGGTACCCCTCTTAAGCAGATACTTTTCCCTGTGAAAGGAGAGGAAAGATAGGCCTATGTCTTAGCACTACTGTCAACTCCTAAAGGGACACTCCTACTAAGTGGAGGGGATACGTCATGAGTTTGCCAAACGTTCGAATCATTACGTTTTGGTTAGTATCCCATAAATAAGGGTATCAATATTCAGGGGAGACCCCTATCAAGGGGACACTTCTTTGGCCCTGGCCCGACTTTAACATGAAGCCGTGTTCCATGACACAGGAAACAGCGTATCGTACCAACGTCATCAAAAAGGAGCTCCCCATTCAGACCTCTACTTTGAATCAAGCACCCTGGCACTTTGCGCGGGTACAGTAAAGATGTCACTCAGTTTAGTAATAATATTACCGTATTTATTCAAACAAACGCCCCCTCTAGAGCGTCATTTGGAACATAAACACCTCCCTCGAATAAACACCCCGAGACGTTTATTTTTTCTTCGAATAAACACTTCCTAAATGTCTTAATCTAACGGAAGCAACATAAATTTCAATACATGTACATTATTTTAATATTCTGCTCCAGTAGAATTACATTTTGTTCTAACCTGGTTGGGATCAATAAGTCTTTATGATCGTCCAATGACCTGTTGACGGTAATTATGTCTTGTAGTCTCACATTTATAGTGAAATAAAGGGGCGACTATTTGAGTATCTATTTTACACCAAAAAACATGAACAACCCCTCGAATAAAATCCCTTTTCAACAATAAACGCCAAGGGGCGTTCATTCGAATAAATACGGTATAGTAGATAATTACTGTAGGCATAGGTACTGTATATATATATATTTGGCGAAATAGAAAGTAAAAACGTTTGTGTGTATAATGTAAAGGTTTACTCTTAATATTTACATCCATTGTTGTGAGTTTGTAATGGTGGGTTGAATGTAATTTGATTGCATTTACATGACGACTGTGAAAGTGCGTAACGAGTAGAGTTCTTTGTTCAACTGCGGTGTTCAATTTAAGACTCATATTAGTCCTGTGAACTCGTTGCCTGAGAGGCTGCACAACCAGGTCCACTGTGAGCCGTTTTACTGAACTGTGTTAATATTTTTAATGTAATTGAATATGTGCACCTTTGACGTTTAGTAGTACTGTAATATACTTGATAAAGATTACCACGATCTCACTATGTAAAGTGTTTCAAGGTTTACGAAGGGTAGGCGAGTGAAAGATGTTTATCAACAGCTAGGGACTGCTTGTCATAGGCTTATTAAACCGAAATAATCTTGATGGCACATTGTATACCATTAGTGTAATTAATAATTAATCATCATGTAGAAATGTCATGAGGATAGAATTTGCTTTTCTAAGGGGGATATTGAAGATGAATTAAATTTTCTTCTCAAATGTATATTATACAGTGATTTAAGAGAAAAATACATCCCACGATATTATGTTCGTTTCCCTACACAATATAACTTTATTTCCTTAATGATCTCGCACAGTCCACTAATAATACAAATGCATTTATTTACACCATGCATTTAAGAGAACGGAGATAGATAACCTTTTACAACTATTTGATTTTCCACATTGTTCGCTATTATTTTATGATTCTTTATGTATACAAAGGGCCAGTGGCCTAAAGTTGATGAATAAATTGATTGATTATGATACCACAAAATAACCTGTTTCCATTTTCCGATTTACCG